AAATCTTAGGAAATCTCCTCCCATAAACCTTAGGAAACCTCTTCCCATAATCCTTAGGAAATCTCCTCCCATAAACCTTAGGAAACCTCTTCCCATAATCCTTAGGAATTCTCCTCCCATAAACCTTAGGAAACCTCTTCCCAAGTTCCCTTAAGAAATCTCTTCCCAAGTTCATCCCAAGCAAACTTCTGCCCAACGTAACATTCACTCTTTAACTTCTACCCAATAACCCATTCTCCAACCCAAATAATTGTCAGCAAACTTTTCCATCAAGCTAACAAATATTGCAGTGGAATAGGCTTGGTCCAAAATGAGCTATTTACCATATAGGAGGAAGCCCCAACCCAACAATAAGAGACAATGCTGACTTGCACACATGTGAAACATAGGATGGAATCGGCTCATCTGGAAGTTCTTCAATTTCAATTTCTTAGTTGTACACAGTATCGCAATTTCTTGCATATTTAGGTATTGCATTATTTATATTTATTATTTATTGTTTAATTTTTTTATATTTGTATTTTTGAAATAATATTAAAGTTTTTCAACAAATGCAATAAATTTTAATTTTTAACTTATATTGTGAAAAAAAATTACTTCATATATGGATGATAAGAATTGATATTAGTATGTTAGCTCTTAGACAATTCAAATATAACTACAAACATTATAATAGGAAAAAAAAAAATCTTTGAAAAAAAGAATAAGAGAAACTTATAGATCAGAATCAAAGTGAATTCCTTTATTTTTTTTTAAAGAAACTCAAACATTTTATTAATCCTCCAAAACAAATACAAAGGAAAGAGGCTAGACCAACAAAGTCTCGATATAAACGAGGACAAACCTGCTATATACTAATCAGAACCTGTACTTAAACTCGTAGACTCGTAAACGAGGAATTCCTTTATTTTTTTTTTAAAGAAACCCGAACATTTTATTAATCCTCCAAAACAAATACAAACGAAAGAGGCTAGACCAACAAAGTCTCAATATAAACAAGGACAAACCTGCTATATACTAATCAGAACCTGTACTTAACTCGTAGACTCGTAGTGGTCACGCTTCCTCTCACGCCCACCACGTGTCCGAGCTCCACTGCTCCCCCTAGCACGCTCAACATACATCATCATCAAAGTCATCACCATAGTCTGACCATCCAAAGCTCGGCTCATACTATAAATCCGAACTCAGGTCTGCCAAGTGAAACTCCAAGAAGATCTTCGGACTGGGTAAACCCTCCAAGTCTCTTGACCCAAATAAGCTAGTTGTCGTAAACCTCAATAATGCTAATTACTAGTCTGGACTCTGGGCGCAAATTATATCATGCACCGTGGTGCATAATGGATTATGCACTTAACTTCTAAACGACGTCGTTTTGTTTAATGAAAAGAAACGACATACACCCGTTTCACGTCGTTCTGCAAAAAGTGCCTCTGTTATTCAGTTTCATTTTGTATACACTGCAGTTTCTGTTCAACACAACTACAGTTTCATTTCGATATAACTACAATTTCATTCGATATTTATACACTCAAATATGTGAAAATGTTATTTAATTTTATTTTATATACACTATAGTTTCATTAAAACACAACTACATAATCATTTCGATATAACTACAGCTTCATTTCACGACATATACACTCAAATATGTGAAATATTATTCAGTTTCATTTTATATACACTGCAGTTTCCAGTATCATTTTAATATAACTACAGTTTCGCTGGGTAATGTACACTCAAATATGTAAAATTGTTATTCAATTTCATTTTGTATACACTACAATTTCATTTCAACACAACTACAATTTCATTTCATTTCAATTACAGTTTCTTTTGATAATATAAAAATAATATGTGGGGTAGTATCACTTTGTCTAGCATCTAGGCCCAGTTGCTTCACGGCCGTAGCATTTTCCTGGCCCTAAACAGTGTCTGCCATTTCCTCAAATAATTGTGCTGCTGCTGTGTATATAATTTCATCTGCTACACGGCCCAATTCACTGGAATTGGCAAATTATGCCCTGGACCCGTATCCACAATGAATTGCGGACACGGGCCCAAAACGACGTCGTTTTTCAAAAAAATGCGTCATTTAGTTAAAAAAAAAAAAAATCGCGCGCGTTTTGCCGTTAACGGCGTTATTATTATTATTTTTTTATTTTTTATTATGAATGTACAGTTATGCCGTTATGAATGTACAGTTATGCAATTATGAAATTATGAACACAGAGCTCTAACATTATGAACTTACAATTATGAACATATAGTGATAAAATTATGACCATGGAGCTTTAAAATTGTGAATATAGAGCTTCGAAGATTATGAATGTACAGTTATGGAGTTATGAATGTACAGTTATAGAGTTATGAATCCACAGTTATGGAGTTATGAATCTACAGTTATGAGATTATGAATCTACAGTTATGAAATTATGAATGTACAGTTATTGATCGAATTATGAATAAAGAGCTCTGACATTATGAACTTACAATTATGAACATATAGTGATAAAATTATGAATATAGAGCTCTAAAATTGTGAACATAGAGCTTCGAAAATTATGAATGTACAATTATGGAGTTATGAATGTACAGTTATGGAGTTATGAATGTACAGTTATAGAGTTATGAATGTACAATTATTAACATATTGTAATAAAATTATGAACATATACTCCTATAACGAAGCGGTCTGAATTTAAAAAAAAAAAAAAAAAAAAAAAAAAAAAAAAGAGATAACAGTGCCTAACGACACTATTACCCGTGTCCAGCATGCATGCTGGACACGGGTCCAACGCATAACGATTGACTGGAATTCTTACTTTGCAATGTAGCTTTATCAATTGGGCCGTGACCCTACTGGGCCTTCTTCTTAGATTTTACTTTCAAGTTGTTAGCCCAAGTAGCCTAAGTGGGCAAATTATGCTGTATGGTGCATACGGATGCAAAAATGACGTCATTTTGTATCATAACGCGCGTCCTACTGAAAAAGAAGTCAGTTTCGATTCCCAGCAACAACATTATGTTATTCATTTTTTAGTTTATTCATTATGAATTTTTAATTATGAAATTCTGGATGTATAGTTATGCAATTCTGGATGTGTAGTTATGCAATTCTAGATGTGAAGTTATGGATGTGTAGTTATGCAATTCTGAATTTATAGTTATGAAGTTATGGATGTGTAGTTATGCAATTCTGGATGTATAGTTATGAAGTTATGGATGTGTAGTTATGCAATTTTGGATTTATAGTTATGAAATTATGGATGTGTAGTTATGTAATTCTTGATTTATAGTTATGAAATTATGAATGTGATGAAATTATGGATGTGTAGTTATGCAATTCTGATTTTTTTAAATTTTTTTTAAAGTTAGACGTCAAAACGACGTCGTTTTTGCATACGGATGCACAACATAACGCTCCGCCTAAGTGCCAATGCTAAAGGAGGCTTGGCCCAATCCATCAACATTTTTTGCTTGGCCTCGAGTGAATTCCTTTGACTTTGATATTTTGATTTGAAGTTCTTATTCTTTATTACTCTCAGAAAATTCAAGAAAAATTGTTCTTTGAGAATTAAAAATGATTACAAATACTAAAACATACAAAAAAAAAACATTTGAAAAAAACGGGGTGAAAAATTATAGAGCTATAGTAAATTTCATTGTTTTAATTTTACTATAAAACGACGGAGTGGACGGCGGCCACACCCAGTCATTTTTTTTTAATTTTTTAAAAAATTTATTAAAAATTATTAAAAATACCAACTCAGCTGCCATGTAAGCAGGTAACCTGCTAAAATTGATGGTAACCTACTATTAGGTGAAATTGCATACATTTGGAGTATTTAGTGGCCTAGTTGTATTTTTTTTTTTTCGTTCAGTGACCTAATTGCATTTTTAGGTTACGATCAGTGGCCAATTTGAACGTTATTACAATTTTTATAATATTAAATTTAGTATTAAATTATTAATATTTAAAAATTATATTAAAAGTACTATTAAAGACAAAAAAAAAAACAAATTTAAAAATAATTAAAAAATATTAAATAAAATAAATAAATAATAAAGAGTTGGTTTGACTAATGATTATTGATTAATAAATAGAACATGTAAAATGAGACAAGAGGAGATATATTTTTATGAATTTGTACTGTATTTGTCTATACATCAATTAACACGTTCACAAAGCAATCTTTTTTACTTGCAATTATGTGATTAACTTTTGCATAACTATTTAGGATCCCTTATGTCCGTAACTTTGAAGGTTGCATATATCATACTAGTAATTTGGATGTTTTATCATAAAAGAACGACTCCGTTTTTGTAGACGTAGGCAAATAGTCAAACTATGTAAATTTTATTTTCTTTATTTTCTATTATTTTCATGGTTGCAGTAGGCGCTTGGCGCTAGTCAGACGCCTGGACAGCGCCTAGCGCTTAAGCGGCCTAGGCGGGCATAAAAAAAACAGTGACAGACTTACAGTTTGACAATTTTAATGAGGCTGTTTTCAACCTTCAATCAAAGAACACATCCAAATAAATGAAATAATTATAATTCATAAGTTATAACATCAAAACAATATTAAAAATTAAAAATACTCAAATATTTTAATCATCTTAAGATTCAAAGTATCAAACTAGTCTACGAGTGTATATATGTCATATTATATATATATATATATATATATATATATATATAATGATAAAAAATTAGCCAGTTGGCCGAGCTAATCGGTTAACTCGATCGAAATGAACCAGTTAACTCGGCTAAGTTAGACGCTAGGCGGCCAAGTCGGCCGAGTTAAGCCTAGGCGGGCGCCTAGGAAAAAAATTGCCACGGTCTAGGGGCGCCTAGACCGATTTTTGCAACAGTGATCATTTTTTGGATTCTTGTTCTAGTTTATCTCAACAATCCCAATTCATAGTGCTTAACTGCTTAAGATTGCTTCTGTTTAATGTTTCCACCTTATGTGGCATGTTTTGCTTATGCAAGTTAATGGAAAAATTAAAGAAAGAACTTGGACCTTGCAGTTAAATATTTCCTTAACTTCTCCCAAAACGCAGACAGGTCAAATGCTTGTGCACAGATTTGTCCACTTTGGATATAATCTCACACTACCGCCTCGCCTACTAAATCATTGAGTTAAGTCTGTAGTGGCAAAATATTTCCTTAACTTAATCTTAACAGTGCAGTACTCTTAACTAGAATTCCCACTTACCAGTAAGTGTTTGTTGACTATAATAAGGTGCTTCAAACTTGCAAAGCCTACTTGCCCTATAGCCCTGTTTCTTTATGGATTGGAAAATGGTAGATCAGGCAACAGACATTGCTTTAACCTTCTTCTCCATCTGATTTTGAAGCTTCTCTTTGGCACGCCTCAGAGAACCAAGAACCTCTCTTACTGTTTCATCTAGAACATCTGGATCAATGGTCTGTTTTGTCTTAAGCATTTCTACTGCTACTATAGCCAATGAGTCATCCACATTCTCTTCTCTAACCAAATTGTTTTCTGCATCCATTTCTTTCACTTCCTGTGAAGTTCTCCTGCTAAAAGATGCAATAGTGCAGCATAAAATGTTAGCTGATAATAAAATGTGAGTAGTACTACCTACAAGAGTTAATACCAGGAATGGTTCCTTTACCATTGACGTTTACAAATTTATATTCCCGACTTTTAATTTGACTATAATTAGCCACTTGATTATTGATTTTGTTCCAGATTTGGTCATCTCATTAAATATTCGATTAATATACGTTAAAATTAAGGGTAAGAATGTAAAATTAACTAGCACAATTCCTCTCCATATTTTGAATATTTTGGGTGTTGAAACAAAATATATAATCGCCTCAAATTTGGGTTAGAGACTTTAGGGTGTTTGAAACAAAATATATGATCACCACAAATTTGAGACTGAGATTTATCAGTAGCCTGGTCCAAATTGTCTTATGCATCAATCTTGTTCTTCACATTCTCACTAATGAACCTAGTGATGTGGTAAATACTAAATACGATGGTTCTCGTGGATACGTACAAGTAATGAAGGTGGATTATAGGCTGATCCTTCTTTAGTCTACTTGTTAGTTTAAGTCTTAAGCTCGGTTGATGACGTAAGGTAAGAGAGTTCCAAGTTACTTAGAGATAGGTAAGAAGTGTTTAAAAGTCCCCTCCACAAGTATTTAATGCAGTATTTATAGGAGGGTGAAGGGAGCACATGCCGGCCTCCTAGCATGTACGACATGTGGTGGGAGCATATGCCGGTCTCCTAGCATGTACGACATGTGGTGCCCATGCACACGGGCAGGCCGGAGGCCGTTTTGATCCTTCCCCACGTGCACTAAGATTCCTGACTTCCTCATTCTTACGGCCGTCGGGTTTGAACGAAAGAATAAGGGTACATTCTCCAAGTAGAGAGGGTCGGGTGATACTTCTCGACCTAAACTGGTCGGGTGAATCTGAATGATAGTAGGTACTACCGCTAATCGTGCCTTGCTTATTCTTACTATTTAGGTCGGGTTGGTGGACTCCGAAGTCGGTAAAGATCGGGAACGATCCATCTTAGTGACCAGATCGGATACCGAGCTGATATGCGACTCACAAAGAGACGGTATGTCTGAGGAGTATTCCCTATCACCTAGTCTATGAAGTTTATGAATTCAATTTGCTCATATAAGTAACAAGCTAATTTTTACATTCTTATCATTAAATTTAACAGTTATTAAATTGATATTTAACTAGAGGACCAAATCAATAACAAAATCAATAATTAAGGAACCACTTATGATCAAATTAAAAAAAAAAATGATAAATGTCAATAGTGAATGTAACATTCTTCGAATTAACTCTACCCTATAATTTGAATAAGTTTAATGAATGGATGTGTATAGGCTTTGCAGATTTACATACCTATTTCCATCTGGCATTGAGAGATCATGGTTTCCATTGAATTCAAGATTGGCTTTACCTAAAGAACTCATCATGTTCTCCTCCTCAATTGCATCACCTGCAGCCTCCTTGGTTTCGTATTTCCCGGATAAAGATTCAGAGGAATCATTTCCTGTTTTCATTTTCTCCATTTCTTGATAGCAATTTGGTGAGTCTTTGGTGCTTGAATAAGGGATAGATGAAACCTCACCATGGGACACATAGCTTGAATTTTCTGATTCATCTGAGACATATAATAATGATACATTCATGCACTCCATCAGCTTCTTCTTTAGGAATTTAAGCCTCTTTTCAGCTTTATTTCTTGATTTAGTCTCTTCTTTCAACTTTGTCTCCAGGTATACCAACTGTTCATTTACCAACAACAAAAAAAAATCTAATAATTTGCTTAAAACAGACAAATATAACAATCTAATCAAGATAAAGAAAAAATTAAAAATCCAGATTTGAAGGCCTGAGAACTAGAAAGAGACCTTGTTTCCCATAAGTTGAGCTGCTTCTTTTGCTTTTCTTGAAGCAACTCTCTCTGCAAGCAATCTCCCTCTTAGGAATTCCACTGTCCTCATTACCTCTTCTCCCATCATTTTCTCACTGATGAGAAGGAAAAATAAAATTATAAAAATATATATGAGAAGAAAAACGGAGAATATATATGCACATTTAAGCTAGAATATTAAGGGGAAAATTGGGAAATACCCCAGATTTCTATCTATATTATCTTCACTAGTCATCTTAATGCAACCCAATGCAAAGATTTATTCTGTGGCATTTGAACCCTTTAGTACCAATATGGCTACCAGGAGACATTATTTGAACATTTTCCTGTCACTTCACAATTCTTGTTTGTGCAAAGAACAAACAAGTTGATGTTGAAATCATTGTTTAGAAAACAAATGTTAAAAGGGAAAGGCAAGAGCCTTGCCCCCACCATAAATGGCTATTATATTCAGTCACTTCACATTAAAGTTCGTTGCAGTAGTTGTTTTCACTGCCAGCAAGCTTTTAACTGTCACGTAAAACTTAGGGTCCGTTTACTAACTCGAAAATTATAAAACTGAAAAATTTGAGAACAGAAAACAGAAAACATGTTTACTAGTACAGTTTTTCATTTTGAAAACAGGAAATAATTTTCCAGTTTTCTAGAAAATTGGAAAAGTATTAAAGTTTCTCCTTCAAGTTTTGAAGCTTTCCTTTTCTTAGAGTTAAGAGTCAAAATGTTAGATTACCAGTGGTACTAACTCAAACCTTATTGTTACACTCAAATAAAGTAGCTATACATATAGATTAGCATATATTAGCTCACCTAATGGTTGACATCTGTGGAGAGTACAATTTCAAATTTATCACCATTCATGGTTTTCAGTAATGACAATTTAATGTAAGTTTTTTATTTTTTTTTTATTTTTGAGTAACGAGGGAAACCACAGTGTGTACCCTGGAAAGGATCACAGGGCGGTAAACACCAATAAGCCACTGCTACTAGTAGTCAAACTTGTAACTTTATTTTTACTAAGTCACAACCTGACCAACTTGGTTAGGGTTGTCCAAATTTAATGTAAGTTTGCTGAGTAGGACTAATATAGATGTCTATGTTAACATTTGAGAGTGAATTGTATTGAGATAAGAAATAATGGTGATGATGAGTTCATCTCAAGCTCTTATCTGAGTCATGCTCTCTTGTGTTAAGTTTCATTTGATACATAGTACATAGAGAATCTAGGGCGTAGCTGAATAATGGAGGTTATGGGGTCACTTAGATCACGTGGATGTTATCAGTCATGATCAATAATAGTATGTCCTTGGGAATCTTTGTGCAAGGCTTTGATTTTTATGTATTGTTTTCAGATTTTGTTACTACTGCTAAATAAACTATTGTGAAAGTCTCCTTGTGGATCAATCAAGCAAACAAATAGAGGTTACTTATATGGGAAAATTTTCGTACATATTACAAAGTCACTTCTATTCTTACAAGAAAGTCTTAAAAGATACTTACAAAGTCACTTTTTATTTTTACAAAGAGTTAAAGTGTTGAATTAACAGGAAACAATAATTATGATAAAAAGTAAAGAAGATAAGATTTACGTGACAATGTGTCTACGTTCACGGAGAAATTATTCTTTTATTAATTGTGATGGTGACGCAATACCTAAAGATAGACAATTTTTTCTGTGACCATGAAGACAAGATACATTTTTAATATACAAAAGTACATTATTTGTGTACTGAATGTACATTATTTGATAGTATACAAAATAATGTACTTTATGAACACAATAATGTACTTTTTATTTATGGTCAACGGAGCTGTGTGTGGACCATGGTCCATAGAATAATAACTCCCTAGGGATAAAACCAATGTATTTATATGCATCTACTCCTATACCATGGACCCGACCCAATCCACTCCACTAATTATATTCCTTTTTATATGAGATAAACTCATATTCATTATATGAGACAAACTCAACAAATTTCTACCTTGGCGAATATGCGTTTAGGGGAAAAGACATTTCTCAGATATAGATCGGGACAACCATGCTCATCTAATATTTGAAAACACCCAACAAGTCCAAATAATGTTTGAACTTGTCACTAGTAACTGCCTTTGTTAACATGTTTGAGCTGATATGAATTTTCTACAACAAAATCTCATCAAAAGCAACCAACTTCCCAACCTTATGGAATCTTACATCAATATACTTGGTCATCCTAGCATGATATAATTGATTTTTAGCCAAAAAGATGGCACTTTGACTTACATAGTGTGATTGAACTCCACCTTGTTCAATGCACAATTCTTTAATCAAACTTGAAAGCCACAAAGTTTCTTTAGCTGTTTCAATCACAACCATGTATTCTGCTTCAAACCTTCAATTGTAGACAAAGCCTCTTTGTAGAACTCCACAAAGCCCCGTTATAGAACCTTTGTTATACATGTCACTAGCATAATCAGAATCGACATATCCCATTATTATAGGCTCACTTTGTTGACTCCCAAGTACAATACCATGCCCCATAGTGCCCCTTAAGTACCAAATCAAGAATCCACTTAACTGCTTCCCAATAATGCTGCGTCCCAGGTTTAGAAATGTACTAAATAACTTGGCTAACAGCATGAGCCAAATCAAGTCGAGTACAAACCATTGCATATATTAAGTAGCCAATTGCACTACACAAAGAACCTTTGTCATATCTTCAATTTCACTAACTGTTTGGGGATATTGACTAGGTGGGAGTTTAAAATGATTAGCCAAAGGGCTACTAACTGGTTTAGACTTACTCATCCCAAACCCGTCAAGGACTTTCTCAATATAACTCTGTTGAGTTAGCCACAACTTTCTTGCACCTCTATCCCTACAAATTTTCATGCCAAGAATTTTTTGTGCAATTCTTAAGTCTTTCATATCAAATTCCTGACTCAATAACGCTTTCAATGCAGTAATACCATTCATACTCTTTGCAGCAATTAACATATCATTCACATATATATAGTAATAGAAAAATAAAAGAACCATCACCAAGGCTCTTAACGTAGACGTACACAACAATCATACTCACAAAGTGTGTAGTCAATTTGAATCATGTAAGAATCGAAATGTGTGTACCACTACCGTGGAGCCTATTTAAGCTCATACAGTGACCTCTGAAGCCTACAAACTAGATGTTCACATCCGGGTTTAACAAACCCTTCGGGTTACTTCATAAAAATATGCTCATCTAGATCACCATGCAGAAAAACAATCTTCACATCCATTTTTTCAAATGAAAATCTCAAAGCAAGTACTAACCTAATAGAAGTATGTCTAACCATAGGTGAGAAAACCTATCATAATCGATCCCCTTTTGTTGCGAAAATTCCTTCACAACTAACTGAGCCTTGAATCTTTAATTTCCCAATCTTTTTATGATACTGGTGGTTTCTTTCTATCCGGACCGATCTTTTTATGATACTGGTGGTTTCTTTCTATCCGGACCGATCCAAACATTTTATAGCTCCGGGCCAAAATTAAAAAAAAGACCCCTATATGAAAAACTATAATTTAAATTTAATAAAAAATGATAATATCAATAACATGAAATAAAATTAGAAAATTTTCAACAATTTTTAAATACAAAAATAATCATGACAAAAATTTTATGTGTGCTTTACTTGATGCAAAACCCACAATTGCATCAAGATTAATATTCTCTAGCATATCCTTCTCAATACACAAAATCGCCAAATCATTCAATAGTATCACGTTCATTTAAAGAACTATTATTTGGTTTTCAAAAAAAAAAAAAAAAAAAAAAAAAACTATCATTTGCTACATTATCATGCTCACTCAAATTACCTATACAGTCATTAACATGGTCTTGGTCATTTAAATTTTCTTTAGATTTTTTTCAAATTTTTATTAGATGATTCTGATTTTTTGACAAATTTATTCATATCTCCTCTTTGTGATTCTATTAACGACTCTACTTGTTTTATTTTTTCTTTTGCCACTTCCAGATAAATGCTTTTTAGGTAGCATTATATAAAACAAATTTTAAAAAATTGTGTATAAATTTCTATAGACTCACTTGCACCCTATAACTTTATTACCTTGAGGAAGCTGAACTAGCTCCCAAGTACAATTTTGATGTAAAGACTCCATCTCTTCAATCATATTTGTCATCCATTTATCTTTCTCAGGGCTAGAAACAACATCTTGAAAAGTAACGGGATCATTATTAGTAACAAACTAACAATAAGTGCAAAAGAGACTATATCCTCAAATTATACTGTGGACCGCGGTCCACAGTGCATTGTGATCCAGGCATCAAATATGCACTGCAGTTTCATTTCAACACAACTACAGTATCATTTTGATATAATTACAGTTTCGTTGGACAATATACACTCAAATATGTGAAATTGTTATTCAGTTTCATTTTGTATACACTGCAGTTTCATTTCAACACAACTACAGTTTCATTTCAATTCAATTGCAGTTTCATTTGATAATATAATAAAAATAATACGTGAGACAGTGTCAATTTAGATACACTATAGTGTCTGTCGTTTTGGACCATGATCCACAGTATAATTGCTTCTCAAACCCATACCTGCTAGGTGGTTTGCGTTTCGATTTATTTCTGACTAAACAATAATCCTACAAGTAACTCATAAAAAAAAAAAAAAAAAAAGAAAAGAAGACAATAAAATCATTTGTACACATAAATTAAAGTAAACCAAATCAATATTTAAAAAGAGATACATATTAACAAAATCAACTTACCTTTTACAGTAACCCAATAGAGTAGCTCAATTGGTAAATGAGTTCTTTTTGTGGGGGAGAATTTTGGGATAACCTGGGTTTGATTCCCACAAGTGACGATCCCCTTTGGGCTAGCTTCTGTGTCTTTCGGAGCGAACTGGGTGGATCTGGACCGTTAAACGGACAGAGAAAGTCCCGGACCACTATGTGTAGTTGACACAAAAAAAAAAAACTTACTTTTTACGGTTTGACAAAATAATAATAATAATAATAAAAATGGCATAGCAGTCTGGGTTACTTGAACTTCCGGCGAGTCGGCAACCATTGATTTTAACCTAGACGAAAAATAGATTTATTAAAACATGCTTGAAAAAAAAAAAAGAAGTAAAAATTAGATCTATATTTTAAAAAGATTAATATAAAAAGAAATTAATGATTTAGAACTTAGCTTTAAATGTTGTGAAAAGAAAAGAAAAAAAAGTGAAACTAGAATCACCATCTTGATCTAGAAAAAAATTAAGTTCTCGTTCGACCAGGGACAGAGCCAGAATTTTCTTTGAGTGAAGGCAAATAAGCGAAGGTAAAATGAATTAAAAAATGTTCAAATACAAAATATCAAATACAAATAAGATTGTTCAAATACAAA